GCTTGCTCATTCACATCCTGTGTCCAATTCTGATTATCACAGGACCACCACCAATTCTGGTCATCACCCTTGCTTATTCTCCTCTCCTTTCTCACTCCCTGGAAAGTTTCCATAGGATTCCACCCCCTCCTCTTACCCTTCTACCTCTTATCCCTGAGCATCACTTATCCACTCATGGTTTGAATACAATCTCTTTGCAAACGACTTATCTACCTAAACCTGTCCACGCCACATCTAGACTGTGGGCCCAGTCTGGTGCATGGTGCTGATCCAACTGGGGCCCAATGTAGCTGTGCAGGCCCCTGACTGGGCTCCATGTGGCTATATCAGGCCCTGGCAAGGCTGTTTCCAAGCAGACAGAACAGGCCCTAGCTTGAGCCAGCCACATGGAAATTAAACCTGATCCCTCTGAGGGGGCAGGCCCAATAGGGGCCAATCTGTGGGGCTTGGGAGTTTGGCAGTGGGGGAAGAGTGGGCTGATGATTATAGAATCATAGAATTGAAGGACTGGAAGGACCTGTAAGATCAACAAATCCAGTTCCCTGCAATAGGCAGGAGGTTTTTGGGCTCAAACGAGCTCAACGAGGTGCTTGTCTAGCCACCTCTTGAACACCTCCAAGAATGGCAACTGCACCACCTCTGCTGGGAGTGTGTCCAAGATTCTAGTTACCCTTACAGAAAAAAAGTTTTTCCTTATGTCCAGCCTACATTTTTCCCTCAATTAGCTTGTGCTCATTGGTCCTCATCCTCCCAAGGGTTGCCTTTCTGAAGAGTTGCTCCCCTAGATCTTGATGTTCACCCTTGACATACTTGTAGGGCTATCAAGTCTCAGTCTTCTCTTGCTCAGGCTGAACAAACCCAGTTCTTGGAGTCTTTCCTCATAGGGCCTATCCTCCAGGCCCCTAATTATATGGGTGGCCCTTCTCTGTACCCTTTTGAGCTTATCCACATCCTTCCTGAAATGCAGTGCCCAGAACTGGACACAGTACTCCAGCTGTGGCCTCACCTATGCCAAATAGAGAGGGAGAAGCACCTCCCTGGATCTATTGGTGACACATCCGCTGATACACACCAGAGTTCTATTTACTCTGCTGGTGACATCATCACACTGTTGGCTCGTTCATCTTCTGGTTGATTGTCACCCCCAGGTCCCTTTCAGATGGAGTGCCAGCCAGCGGATCACCACCCATCGTATAATTGTGGTGAAGGTTCTTCCTACCCAGATAAAGAACCCGGCACTTGCACCTATTAAACCTCATCTGATTGCATTCAGCCCGTAGAACCAGTCTGTCAAGGTCATACTGGATCCTTACCCTGTCCTCAGATGTGCCTGCATTTCCCCACAGCTTGGTGTCATCTGCAAAGTTAATCATTGCTCTTTCTATCCCCTCATCCAAATAATTGATAAAGATGTTAAAGAGCACAGGCCCAAGCACTAATCCCTAGGGGACACCACTAGAGATGGCTCTCCAAGATGAGGCCATCCCATCAATTACAACTCTTGGATTGGCCTCTGAGCCAGTTGCCAACTAACCTCACTGTAGACTGGTCTAGGCCAGTACCCTCCAGCTTAACTGAAAGAATCTCATGGGAAACAATATCAAAGGCTTTGCTCAAGTCTAGGTAAATGATATGGACTCACCCCCCTCCCCTCCTCTACCTAAACGAAACTGATTAAGATGCAGTGAGAGACGCACCTAAGACCCTCACCAGATAAGGGTGACGAGTGAATCAACTGCCCTAGGTCTCATTTACATGAGAGATGGAAAACAGAAAGCCTGAAGCAGAGACTGCAGTGAATTCTGGGACCAGAGAAGCAGGAGAGCGCTGCATGATGGGGAATCTGTGCTTCCAATGTTAATCAACCCATGTTCACACACACCCAGCTCAGCATTTATCAGACCAGTTCTAATCTGGATTTGCTAAGGACTTTTCCCCCCCCAGACACACACACACAGCTCTAAGTTTAATAGGCATCTCGGGCCGTACATTCCCCGGTCCCACTATGGGAGGCCTATTTAAACTTGATTGACTAAAACTCGGTTGCCGGGTTAGGGAATGCTGAGGCAAGAGACCGAGTCAGAGGGGGTATGGGCAACATTTGAACAATGGTTAAGGGTTCATCACAGCATCCAGCCTGCTGGAGCCCTAATCCCAGGTGTTGTCATATCTTTCCCGAGACGACTGGTGGGAGTCCTCTCCACAAAAGGTTATGAGCACCCCAATAATTGTTTTAAGTCTGTTAAAAGACTATAGTAAGATCTGGAAAAGTCATGCTAAGCTGAGGCTTGTGCACAACAAGTAAAAATCCAAAATCCTGATGCTGCAAGCTATCTATTGTTCCTGAAGAAACCATGAGATATCCCATCAGTATATCTGCCACCCATAGGAATCTCAAGCTGGCTCCCAAGTATTTGGGTTACTCCCTAATCTTAAGTGTTTCCTGATTATCAATCAGTTTCCTGAGATGGTCCAAACCAGATAACCCCTTGTCAATAGAAAAGACAATGATTTACACTACTGAGGGTGCTTCGAAGCAGCTGAACTGAGGGTATAAAAATCTGTAAGTGTGTGTGCTGCTAGAAGAGGAAAAGGAAGGAAAAGAAGTAGAAGCAGGAGGAAAGAAGGAGAAGAAGAAAACCCCTGTGCTGACACCATCCCCTGTCGTTCTTGGGACGCTGGAAGAACAGATCATCTCTCCCTTCAAGGACTGTGCTACAGACTGTGCCTGTCAGCTTTGCAGCCTGAGTACCGTGGACTAGGTGAGATCCCAGCGTTCTCTGTCTTCTTTCTAGGCATAAACTTCTGAACCTGAACTGTATCAGTTAAGCTTGAGCTAAGTTTCCCCAAATACTTAGTGAAACCAGGGTAGTATTGTCATTGTTTGTGTTTGTTTTTCTTTTGCATGTCTATTACTACTAGTACTATTATATATTTCATATGCTTAGCAATAAATAACTTTTATAGTCAAACTGGTAGTAGTTGTGTATATTTTTCCTTCTCTGCTTCTCTTTCCTCCCGTGCTCTGCAGCAACGCTTCTTTTACCTATGCTAAAGATCCCTGTGAAGCCCAAATTATTGTGGGGTCTGCTCATCAAGAGGCCAAAGATTGGGACGTGCTGGATTTGAAACACATAAGAGGATCAGCTTGTACAGGCTGATTGACCCAGTTTGACTCAGACGTGCCCTTATGAACTGAATGCTGGCCCACGAGGGTGTCAGCTGGATGCCCAGCCGGATTCAGAGGGATTCTGTTTACCTGTGTGTTTGTGTTTGACTGCATTTTATTGTTGCTCTTATGAACTGATTCTTGGCATATGAGGGTGTCAGCCTGTCCATGCTGATCAGCCCGGCCAGGTCAGGCGTGTCACGTTAATTTGTGTGTGTTTGTGTGTATGACTGATTTGGTGACTGGAGGAACCCAGTCCCATTGAGATTGAGTCCTGCAAGATAGCTCCACTGGGGGTGAGGGCTTGCAGAAGGGAGAAATACAGCTCCGTATAGTAACACAAGCAGCACATTGACAGAATCACCAAGACCCTAGAAACTATCCCTAATAAATGAGCACACCCCCAAGTAATGGGCAAATTTGGTAACACAACCTCATGTCCCTTGTCCAGCTGGTTGTCATAAAAGGACACCAGGTTTGTTAGGCATGAATTACCCTCAAAAAAGCCATGCCCCACCTTGTTAATACCCCACCAGTTGCAAGCTTGTGGTTGATGGACTCCTTGACAATTTTTTCAAAGATTTTTCCCAGGACCAAGGTCAGGCTGACTGGTCTGTAGTTTGTAGGGTCGTCCCTCTTCCCTTTCTTAAAGATGAGTACGTTAGCCCTCTTCCAGTCATTCGGGACCACTCCCGAGTCCCATAACTCTTCGAACAGCTTTACCAGAGGCCCTGCTATGAGCTCAGCCCATTTTTTCAGAACTCTCAGATACAGGTCATCTGGCCCAGCTGACTTGAAGAACATGTCCAAATGTTCTAAGAGTACCCTCAGCTGTTTGGGACTGATTTCATGTGGACTGTTGTCTTCCCCATATTCCCTGGGTCTCTGGACAGGTGAACAGCTCCCATCTGATTTCAGGAACACTGATGTGAAGTAAGTATTTAGGAGCTCTGCCTTTTTGTGGGGATCAACTATGGGCTGCCTCTCCCGTATTCAGTAGGGGTCCCACAGTGGAGCTTGACTTTTTTTCTTGCTCCCTATGTTCCTATAGAAGGACTTTCTGTTATCCTTTATTTCAGTTGCCAGCTTGATCTCCATGCCTCCCTTGGCTTTCCGTGTCTAACACCTGCAGACCCTGGCCATATGATTGTACTCGTCTCTGGATGATGAACCATTTTTTCATTGCTTATATGCGTCTTTTTTTTTTTTTCTTTTTCCAGAAGTTCCCTAATATCCCTGTTGACAAGTGGGTCTCTTGGCCCCTTTCCCACTTTCTGACCACGTGGGGGTGTCCTTTTTGAGCAGTGAGAATTGCCCCCTTAAGGAAGCACCACCAATCCTGAACTCCCAAATCGTCCAGTCGCTGGTTGCGAAGGGCCTTTCTAACTAGTCTCTTGAGTTTACCAAAGTCTGCACTTCTGAAGTCTAGGACTTCTGTTCTACTGACTGAATTTCCAGCCTTTTGGTAAATGGTGAACCTAATCAGGTCATGGTCACTGTCACCCAGAGTACCTCCAATCTTCAGGTCGCCTACCATGTCTTCCCTTTTGGTCAGCACCAAGTCCAGAGTGACTTTACCCCTGGCCGATCCTGCCAGAGCCTGTGTCAAGAACAGGTCATTGATAGCTGCCAGGAAGTTGGTTGATCTGCTAAAGCTGGCTGAATGGTCTTCACAACAGATGTCAGGGTAGTTGAAGTCACCCATGACAACCAGGTCTTTAGTGCTGGCTGCCTCAATCAGTCCCCTGAAGAATGCCTGATCGTGCTCTTCTCCTTGGTAGGGAGGTCTATAGTAGACTCCCACCATCGGGTACCCCTCTCCTGAGCCCCCTTGTATCTTGACCCAGAGGGTCTCAAGGGACCTCTACCTGCAATCAAATGTGACCTGCAGGGAGGGGAACTGCTTTTTCACATAGAGGGCCACACCTACTCCCTTCTTCCCAACTCGATCCTTACTATAGAGCCTATGGTCCTCAATATCCACTGCCCAGTCATATGCATCTTCCCGCCAGGTCTCCATCAGCCCAACAAGGTCAAATTCCTCTTCTGCCAGAAGCAGTGCCAGTTCTTCCTGTTTGTTGCCCATGCTTCTGGCATTTCCATAGAGACACCTGCGTTCACCCCTAGTCGCCTCAGGTTTTCTGTCACATTGCAAGCACCTCAGGGCACTCGAACTCATCTGGATGTCCCCTACTCAAATGTCCTTCCCTGGTTAATCTTGACCAGAGGATTTATGTACAGCAGTGGCATCTACCCTCTCTCCCCCGGATATGCCTAGTTTAAATCCCTCCTCAGCAAGTCGACAATTCTCGTAGAGAAGAGCTTTTTCCCTCTGCCCATGAGGTAAATACTGCCCCTAGCATGTAGACAAGTGCCATTGAACTACTTGCCATGGTCAAGGAGTCCAAAACCAACATGGTGACACCATCTCCAGAGCCTTTGGTTGACTTCCTTGATGCACTCCTTCCTCCAACAACCACAGCCTCTAACTAGGAAGATTGAGGAGAAGACCACTTGTGGTCCTAATTCCTTGAGCTTCACCCCCGTGGTCTTGTAGTTGCTCATGATCCTCCCGGGGTCATTTCTTGCCATGCCATAGGTACCCACGTAGACAAGGAGCATGGGGTACTGGTCCATTGGGGGTGGGACCAGCTTTGGGATCCTCACTGTTACATCTAGGATCCTGGCTCCTGGAAGGCAGAAGACCTCTCGAATGAAGGGGTCTGGATGACAAATGACACCTTTTCTTCCCGCAGTGGGAAGTCTCCCACAACAATCACCCTTCATTGCTTTCTTGGTGGGGGCAGCTGTTCCTGTCTCGTCTTTGGTGTGGAGGATGCAGACACCTTGTCCATCGATGGTGTGAGGGCTGTGTAGTTGTTGGGCAATGCAATTCATAGATTTCATAGACATTAGGGCGAGTCCAGCCCCCCTGCCCAAGGGGCACGAAGTCAGCTGGGGTCAGAGGATCCCAGCAAGATAAACATCCAAATTTCTCTTGAAGGTGTTCAATATAGAGGCATGAACCACCTCCTATGGCAAGCTATCCCAGACCTTGGGGGCTCGGACAGTGAAGAAATTCTTCCTTATGTCCAGCCTGAAACGGTCTTGCTGGAGTTTATAACCCTTCGACCTTGTCAACCCTTGGGGCACTCTGATGAACAATCATTCCCGCAGATGCTGGTGAACACCCCTGATAAACTTATAGGTGGCCATCAGATCACCCCTGAGCCTGCACTTTTCCAGGCTAAAGAGACCCATAGCTCTCAGCCTGTTGTCATAAGGTCTGTTTTTCTGACCTCTGATCATGCGCATGGCTCTTCTCTGGACTCTCTCAAGCTTCGCCACATTCTTTTTGAATTGTGGAGCCCAAAAAACTGGACACAGTACTCCAGCTACGGCCTCACCAAGACCGAGTACAACAGGAAAATGACGTCCTGGGATTTGCTTGAGAAGCATCTATGGATGCAAGCCAGCGTTTTGCTTGCTTTACTGGCTGTAGCATCACGTTGAAGGCTCATGTTCATCCTGTGGTCAATCATGACCCCCTAGTCCCTTTCCTCCGTAGTGCTAACCAGCGTAGCACTGCCGAGTCTATAAGGATGCTGCAGGCTTTTCCTCCCAAGGTGGAGAACCTTGCATTTTTCGATGTTAAACATCATCAGGTTCTTGTCCGCCCATTTCTTGAGCCTGTCAAGGGTCAGCCTGGATCGCCCTCCTGTCCTCAGGTGTGGATGCTTTACCCCAGAGTTTGGTATCATTAGTGAACCTGACATGTCCGCTTCTGACTCCAATATCCACATCATTAATGAAGATGTTGAACAATATGGGTCCAAGGACAGAGCCTTGGGGGACCCCACTGGTCACAGGGCACCATGATGATTGACTTCTGTCAACCACCACTCTCTGGGTCCAACCACGGAGCCAATTCCCCAGCCAGCAGATCGTGTTGGACCCAAGGCCACAGTTGGCCAGTTTTGCCAAGAGGCGATCATGGCATACCAGATCAAAGGCTTTTTTAAAGTCAAGATATACAACATCAATGTCTTCTCACTTGTCCAGGTGATAGGTCACCTGGTCATAAAAGGAGATAAGATTGGTCAAGCAAGACCAACCGCAACAAACCCGTGCTGGCTATCCCTCAGGATGTTGCCATCAGCCAGTCTGTTGAGAATGGCCTCTTTAATAATCTTTTCTAAGACCTTCCCCAGGAGAGAGGCCAGGCTGATGGGCCTATAGTTTGCCAGATCCACTTTCCTCCCTTTCTTGAAGATAGGCACCACATTGGCCACCAATTGATGGAGCAACTAATGTACGTCTTGGCTTTGGACCTGATGTGACCAATTTCCACCCGCCATTGGTTGGGGCATCTTGCTCAAGCCCACTTTTCTGCCTGGTCTCCGTGGCATCCTTCTCCGGGTGCAGGGCCTGGCAGTAAGCATGGGTGCAGTAAGCATGAATACCCACCTTGTGTTCCCTGATAGTTCATAGTCTGCTCACCTCCTCCTGGAGATCCCTCACCCAGCCCTCCAGAGTCTCCATCAGTGAGCACATCCCACAAGTGGGAGTGCTTGAACCCCAGATCTGAGGATCCAGCAGACATGCCAGGCAGCCTCCACAGCCTGGAGTCAAGGGCTCCGCCTGCGAGGGACCATAGGCTCTGTCTGGGTAAAGACCTCTGAGGTACCAAGTGGGGGTGGTCCATCCAGATCAGAAAGCCTAGAGGTGCGGCACATGCCCATCACCATGTTGCAGGGTGGGGCCTGTTCACTCAGCTCCTTAGGTGCTTGTTTGAGTAGGAGACCAGGTGGGTGTAATTACCAGCAGCTGTTGCTGTTGCTGTGGCCTGGCAGACAGGCTCATGTAGCTGCCTGCAGGGGTATCCCCTGGCTTTCTGAGGAGCTGGGGGTCTCCCTGGGTCCCCGGGTCCCTCCCTGGAGTGGTGGAGGGCTGGTCCCTAGTCCCCTTTTCCAGAGGTCCAGTGTTAGAGGTCTATCCCATGGCATGGGGAGCTTCGGCTGCCCAGGGGTACAACAGGCACGGGGTGTGCTGTGCTTCTCTGACAGGGGGCAACTCTGGGCCGAGAATGCCCGCTGATGGCCCTTCCGTGCACCCCCCTGCGCTAACTCGTGCGCAGGCCCAAATCATGCCTGTTTGCCAGCTCTGGTCATGTGGCTCCCTGGGGGCTAAGCTAAGTAGAGGCTGGTGGGGGGGAGGGCGTGACCCTCCTCAGCCCCACTCAGCTGCCTCCCACCAATAATTGGTTACCTGCTGTGGTCCCCTGCCTGCCTCCTGGCTCCACGCTGGAGGTCAGGGGTCTCAGGGGCCCGCCTGACAATCCACTGGGGGGTCTGAGGCTCCCAGGGGCACAACAGGCTTCTGCCTATGTGCCTCCACCAGAGAACCAGTCCCAACCAGCACCGCTGACCTAAACTCCTTGACCCCTCTTGCTTCTTTGTTATCTGTCTTTCAGCCTAGGTGTTACTGGCACTAAAGTGACATGCTTATTGTTCCTGCTAAACCTTCTCCACTTTTCCCGTTCTCCATTACCATCAGCAGCATCAACCACGTTTTTGCTACCTACAGGCAAGAACAGGGGTTTATCTTTGCTTCTTCATAGATAGTGGCTATCTAGGTCACTCTCTATGGATAAAACTCTTGCCCAGTTTTATTGCAACTTCTCCAGTTATGGGTACCCACTGTAGCCCATAAAAGCCACAGAGATTAAAATTGGCTCTTCATGTTTATTGATTTGACTATCACCTCTCTCTCTAAATTTCCATGACACCATTTATCCAGTTTAATTCTTTCATCGTCCTACAAAACTCTGTTTTTGGCTCATCCAACAAGGGCAGAAACCTAGATTTCAATTCAGAAAATGTTAATAAAATTGTCATTGAACGTGTAGATGTTAACACATATTAACCTAATATGAAAAAAGGGGGAGAAATCCACTGATCTGTTATCAGATTATGCCTAAAAATCATAGAGTAGTAGAAATATAATGCAGTAACTTGATAAAGGAATTTATGGATTTTCATCTTGGATTTCCCTACCATGTCTGATTTCAATTACAGAAATGAAAGGCAAGGATTTAAAACGGTGTTATTTTCCTGATTACAGTACAATTTCAGGTTGGAGATGGGGGGCAGGGAGGCCCATAAATAGGCAGTTCAACTCAAAACCATACTTTAGAGTCAGTATTTGTGCTTTAGAACTGTGCTCTTTGTGTATTAGGCTTTTGGGATGTTTGTAAGAGCATCAATTCTTCTCCAATTTAAGACAACAAAGTACAAACTTAATCCTTTACAAGCACCACCTCCTCCCAAAGACTTCTTCTAAGTTTATTACTGCAAGAGCACATGTAAAAATCATAACCTTAAAATAAAACTCATTCCACAAAGTCAGTGGAACATTTTTCTTATTACAAACTATAGGCTCACCCTGAACAGACACAATTCCAGATGTTTAGTTAAGCTAAGCTGTCTGTGTGTAGTACCAAAATATGACAAAGGCCTAGCCAAAAAATGAACTGCTCATAAGCTGACTTGACATCATGATTTAATTACATAATCTCTCCCTTAAAAGGCAATAGTTTAAATTAAAATAAATTGTTAAAATTAAATAATGTGGCACAGACTGTTAAAGCTTAAAAGATTTAGAGAATGTATGAGGATTTATGTACGTTCTTAACTTCATACCATGAACAATTCTATGCTGTCCATGTTATTTGCTCCTTTCAAGATGAGGTACTTAGTGCTGAAGTGCTGTTGTAGACATGATGGCCCAGGAATTATGTGAGGAGCAAGGATTTTTGTGGGTAATATCTTTTATCCCAACCATTCAGACGATCCAATAAAGTTAGACAAGCTTTCATATACAAAGGATTCTTCATCACAGATTAGGAAAGAACATCTTGCATTTGAAAGCCTGTCTCATTTTATCCCTACCATGCAGTTGGTCCAATAAAAGATATCATCCCCAAAAGTCCTTAGTTGTCATTGTATTACATTTGATAGTATATACGCTCTCACCAGCAAGGATCAACACATTAACAACACGCATGTAAGCAACACTTAAGAGAAG